GGAGGGTGACTGGTCATGGGAGGACACTACCCAGTAAGAGGGGACCTCCTCCGCCAGCACAGCAACTGGTTGGAGTTGGAAATGGTATTTCTTCGTGCAGACAGTGACCGCTGAGCACAGCAGCACCAGCAGACAGGTGGAGGTGGAGGCGGCAGGCTTGCCCTGAGTACCCAGCCTCCCTTCAGCGCACTCCCATGGGAACTCAGGAGTGCAAGGCTGGGCTTTGCTGGAACCAGAAAGCTCCCAGGGCTCTTGCTGGGAAGAGGACAGTGCTGTGGCAAAAATGGAGTTGCAAGAGCTAAATACAGTTATCTGCAAAACCCGCTCCACCAAAGACCAAGCTCAGTATGCTGCCCTGCAACTGCTAGTGCTTGCCTACATTAATGTATCAGAGAGATGAAGCTCTGTGTCAGTTTTGCCCATGTGGAATCTATGATACAGGAGATCAAATTTAAGATCTAGCTACAAACGCCAGAAAATGTTATTGGGTCAAATTTGGCTAACTGATAACATATAAGAGGAGTCCAAAGTCAACCACATGCTACTAATCCTCAAACTGTATTAGGACACTTGAAACACATAAGCAGAAGAAATATGCAGTTGACTCAATAAAGTTGCAATATAATTAATTGCTTACATATAATGTACTTTGCAGAAGGCTTGGGTGAATGAAATGCACACCCTCAGCCCACAGAGTCTGCAACTTTTTCACATACAGTATGCATCTCCACCTGTGAGACAGCCACACAAATCAACGCAAGGTCTTTTCCTGATAAACACTGAATGTTCCTCAGCAGTAAGTTGCTGGGGCTCAGCACCTCCTTGGAAAGAGCTCACAGTATTCAGATCAAAGGAGCCCTTCTCTGATTTCACATAGTCTGATACTGCTAAGAATTAAGTTAAACTCCTAGAAGTTATCCTTAACTACTTGCCATTTGTATCTCCTGTTTCAGATCTGAAGAGGGCTCGGTATGCCCAAAAGCACATCTGTTTTTGCCAGCTGTGTCAGCTGGCTGAAGAAAGGATGCTGCCTCTCCTCGAAGGCTTTACCTTGCTTATTAAGTAATGCAAATTTCACCTGAGTATCTGAAATCTCAATCCACTAGCTTGCTGAATTCCCAGATGTTTGGGGTTGATGTATATAATTTTGCAGGATCAGGCCCTGCATCTGCATCTGTAAACTATTCTTGGTGATCGGCTTTAAATGTAGATAAGGAGATTAAAACATATAAAAGCATCTGATGATTTTGGAAGCAAAGTACTCTCTAGCTTGGCTGGTAAAGTATTCAAACTTGTTCTGAAACAGCAGGAAAAAAATCGCATCCCTGGCTGGGAAGATATGTCAAAACTGAACTACAGTGAGAAAAAGAGTAATAAGAAAGGGCACAAATGGCTCTGTCTTAAAGAAAAGCTCATACCAACACATTGATGTTTCTCCAAAATGATGAGTTGGAAAGCTGTGCTAGACACTGACAGAGCCCATACTCTGCTCCCTATTATAACAATCTCCATTCATTCCTGGCATCAGTCTTCTCTCTTTTTAATGAGGCTTTTCACTCAGACTTTTCTGCTTTGCTATTAACCCAGCAAACAAGTCTAGGAGATTTTCAAACTATTGTTTCCTCTGGACTTTAACTGCCTGAGTTTTTATACCCTTTTGTCATTCCACTAAACAATCTTTTCCAGCCAGGGGATAAAGTGTGGAGAAACAGTCCCTGGTTTTCTAACACAAGGCAAGGGGGAAAAGGCAGATATAGGAGCCAATTAGTCCAAACTACCTAGGAGTAAAAGTAGGGGCAAGAAATGAGAATTAATCCAAATCCAAATGAAACATTCAGAAAACGAAAACTACAATAGTCAGCAAGGGACAGGACCTGAAGTCATTGAGACACACTTGAACATGTAAGTGGGAGATGAAAATGTGGTCATCCAGGGGTGACCCCGAGTTGCCTCCCCTGGGTCTGAGGGCACACAGCACACCCTTGCTGCCCGGAGACTCTTTCTGCTTTCCTGAAGCAGAGCTTTTCTGTCAGCTTTGCCAATGACTGATGCTGGAGGCAACTGCTGCGTGTCTTGCTCCCTACGGGTTTGCTCCCACTCTGTGGTTTTAATCTTGCTGGCTTTTGGCCCCATTCAGCTCAGGTGTGAGGGAGGGAGGGCATAGGAAAGCAAAGTGCCCATGTGCTACGAACAGATGTGGACCAGTCAGCACAGAGAGCTGGTTGGGGAAAGAGGTGAGAAGAAGGGATTGATTTTCCCCTGCCACCCCCTGACTAGTACCTTGAATCAGCCTGTGTGGTCCCAGTCACACCACAGTGGGCCAGCCAAACCCCCCACATCATATTTTTTCTCCACATTATGGCTGTATGCAGCCCTAGCTGGTTGTATGCTAGTCATGAGGCAACCTGATGTAATTTAAGAAGTTTGTTCTTTGGGGTTTATCCCTTCCAAGGAGGTGCTGAGCCACTGCATAGTCACCGCGTTGGCTAACAAACTGGCTGTTATGACACTCATGACTAAAGCCAAGGGATGCTCTACCTTGGGGTGGAGAATTGTACCTCCCTACCTGGAGTTGTGACAGGCTGATGATGCCTTCGCAAACCTTGAGCAGTTTTGTCTGCTCGCAGTGGGTCATAATTTTAGCAATCGTTCCTCTCTTTCTGTTCAACACTCTCCCTCCTCTCCCAGAACAAACTTGTAGCTTGCTGCTAAGAGGTATCTACCTCTACGCTGCTTTCAGAAGCATCTCATGGTGTCATGGGACCTTGGGCCCTGCCCTTCCCTCCTGTTCCCGCTTAGCTAACTCCGCTTTACTCAGCATTAACATATATCTTCCTAAATAATGCATAAGCTAATCATTGCTTATATTCCCTTGGACCAGGGGCAAGTAATGAATTCAGCACAAATCATTTGATGTACTGACAGTAGTACAGCTGAATAATGGACTCTATTAATAACACTAAACTTACTCGTCACTCAGTAGGATGGCCCTTGTTTGGTACGGGATTATTTGATGTAAATACTCTGGTAAAAACATTGAAAGATGAAGGAAGGGTGACGGGAGAATATTAAAGTTCACCGGTGACCTAAATACATAGCGATATGTATGCCAGACTTGGAGCCTTACAAGTGTCGGAAGCTGAGACACAGTGCTATAGCCTGTCAGAAGGCTGAGCCAAATGTCTCTAGTCCTCCTTGCCCTCTCCTTAAAGCCACACTTGGAGTTCATTAGGTAAAATACAATCCTGTCAGCATAAGGGCTGATTTTAAATGGGATCCATGGAGATTAAAAAAAAAAAATTGTTCTTCAGCCCACTGGATTATAAAAAAGGCTCATTTGCAAAATGCTCTGTTCCTCACAGAGGACAGGGTTGCTGGTAATTAGTCACCACTAAAGGGGAAGTTATAAGGGCAAATGTCGTGTAGCAGCTGGAAGGCACCACCAGCGATACCACAGCAGGTTGGCTGCATCCAACCTGTGCAGGAGCAGCAGCTCCCATTGAATTCCTGCAGGCTTTCAGCTGCAGATATTTGATCCTAAATGTGATAATCAGCGATGTAACTCAACAGAGTATGGGATCCTGCCCCACACCAAATCCTGGAAAAAACGTGCCCGTATTGACTCTTCAGTTTAAGGCACACACAGGCAGGCAGGAGGCTCACGCTGATGCCTACTAAAGTCATAACAAAGTCTTGGGGTGTATTTACCACGAGAAACAGAGCATCATCGTGCTGCCCGAGCTGGTAAACACAGGCTTGGCCTCCTAAAACTGCAGAGTGCAGCTACACCGCAGGCACAAGTCTCCAGCACGCAGCCCCGCTCACACAGGGCTATTCCCCAGCCTGAAAGACTTGCCTCTTAGCAGAGTTACTATGTCATTTCCAAACCCAAACTGGCTTGTCTCCAACCACCTTGGTACCAAGCTCCCCTTCCTGGACCACGCCCTCCCAAAAACCGATGAGCCCGGCAGCAGAAAGGGTGAACCTTTGACTCTGATAAGGTACTTACGCTGGCACCAGGGGTTAAACAGGATGTAAGTGTCAGTTGTCGAGTTCCTGTGTGTCCGGAGGATGCCAAAGGGAGTCCAGACAGCAACGTACAGGCGAAACTTCCCAACGATGCAGGTGGCAGAGGACATGATGGACAGGCGAATGGAGTTGTTCTCCTTGTGGGTAATCTTGGCTCCCCATTTGCCAGGTTGCAGCACATCAGTTACTAGGATTGGGATGTAGGTGCCTTTGTTTTGCTGTGGGTAGCGACCTGGAAAGAGAGGAGGGGATAACTCCATGAAGAGGTTCACCTTGTTTTGACAGTCTCTTCATTTCCTGGCGGTTCTCTATCCCTTTTCAATGGAGGCGGCAAATTTTAGTGGGTGGAAACCACCTACCTCCCTTAGAGCTTCACAGAGTGACTGGTCACTTGGCAGTACAGCAGCACGAATACATGCAACACCTCCCAGTAGGCAGCCTGTGCAGACACCCCCACCCATCTCGCTCCAGCAAGCTTCAGCCTTTCTGGCTCAAGCACTGACAGGAGTGTAGGACTGGCAGCATGAGCAGGGGCTGACCCAGGCTTTCCTGCTCACTGCTGCTTATCCTAATGCAGCAAGCTGCACTCCAGCTTGCTCCTTGCCTTGGTGTCAGCTACACTGTTGGTAAGTTTAGATGAGCCCCTTCCCCAGTTCAGATGCACCCACCACCCTCGTCGCTAGCACACAAGTGCCAACTGGAGCATGGACATTGGCTTTGGGGCTTTTTAGCAGGGCAGAACCTCGTTCTTCTCACTGCACTACTGCGCTGATAAGCAGAGACCAAACGCTCTTTCATGCAAGTCCGCGCAGATGGAGGAAATACAAGTCAGTCCACCAGCAGATACCCAATGCTCAGTTCCTCCTGAGCGTCCACTCCTCACGCACAGAGTAGGAATCAACTCTGGACACCCAGAATATAGATGAGCAAATCTGGGCTGGATAGCCAAACCTTCTCTGCAAGCAATGGGTCCCAAAGTATGACATGCCTCCAAAGAATGACATGCCTCCAAAGTCCCGCACGTGATAGTCTACCTCATAGTAAGACAAATCACACCCCAGAGAAGCCTGTTTTAGTCTGCCAACTATAAAAAGCATCTAGACAGATAGGCTACATGTAAACATGTACACTGCCAGGATTCAAAGTTGTGTGAGGATCCACCCTTTGAGCCTGAGGTAGAGCCAAACTATATCTGGAAGCCAACCAGCAGCGTAGACAGAAAAGACACTTGTGAGAAGGCTGAGTTCCTTGTCTCATTCTCAAATCTATTCTTCATTTTATATTTTAGGCAGAAATTCAGACTCTCTCATTCAAAAACAGGGTAACGAAAAGCAACAATGGCAGACAGAGAGACAGACTTCTATATTTTTCTTTTCTACTATTTAAGAACTTCAAAATTAAACTCACAAGGGCGTTGATTTTCCTGCTTGCTTATTTTTATACAGCTGATGTAGAAATAATCCCAGATCTGAACACTGCTACATTCTGGGAAAGGACAACTCCAGCTTTGAATCTGAAGCTTGTGAGCTGCCACGACATCCGCGTTTCTAAGAAATCTGGGCTACAAGAGATTATTTGGTGCACATCAATTTCCATTTTGCAGATGTTCAGTGCACATAAATAGCCCATTTTTCCCTGTTGGCTAGGGATGCTGTAACCCATGAAACCCATTCAGATCAGCGAGGGACACACCAGAAGGGAAAGATCTACAGAAGAAAAAAGGACTAGAATAAGAGAGCAAAATCAATAGAAAACACTAGAAGATAAACCACTGGACACTTCAAATACAAGCCATCAAAGGAAAGCCAGTCTAGAGAGAAGAGCCTATAGAGGTAACAGAGATGAGAGTCTTGTGCCTGCTAACAACTGCGATCTGAGAGCTGAACATATTCTTGTTCTTTGTAGTGCAACTGGGTATGACCTAGCTTGCCTCTACAGTTGATATTTTGCTTCTAGTTTTGACATAATTGTTTTTTTAAAAACGCAGTCCACGCAAACAAAGCAGCAGAGCAAACCAAGTAATTGAACTGACATCCTTGAAAACTGTTAACAAGTGCTACTTTTTAAAATACCTCCTTTACCTCCTTCAGAAGGTGGGAGCAGAGAGAGATTACTATTTTAACGTGGTTAGGAACTGACGCTGTCATCTTCCCTGGAAGCTGCACATCAGTGTAGGAGCCCATTGGGGACAGTGGGAGCTGTGCTGTGGCGGAGACTTTGCACCACCATGTCACTGTGCGCCATGTGCATGTGAGGAGGCTGCAGAATCACTCCCCAGTAAATCTGCCTATAGGAACTAGATAGGATTCCCAAGAGGCCATGGGACCTTTACAAGACATCCTTATGGAAACCCCCTCACTGGCACCTCATAGCAGTTTTGGCAAAGTACCAAGCCTCTGGTATTCTTACTTTTCTGAAACCTCAAAACACACAACTCCATTTGCCCTTCCAAAGGTCCCTCTTGCATATAAAGCCACAAGACACCCTAATCTACCTATTACTTGCCAAGGGAGCACCTGTAGTTGCTGCTGAGGAGTATGCAAGGTCCTTTCAGCCCAGAGCCTATGCATGACCCATGCAGCTGCTCGCACACAGTAAGCACTATCTTCCTCACCCATAAGCAGAAGGTGCTCTAGGGTATTGTCTGCATCCCTGCAGACGTAGCAGGGATACCAGGGAAGGGGCGTCCTAGAAGTCAGGATAATTTGCAGATGTTATAAACAGTAAATACAAGAGAACATCGTTTGCTTCTGACAGACGAGCAGGGTTTGGTGCTCACTAATGGTTGCACAAATCCTGAACCCACAAGGAAGCCTGGGAAGATGGGCGGAGCCCTCAAGAGCACAGTGAGCAATTTCTGATGTTTTCTTTGAAGAGAGGACAGGTTCCCTAAACTTCTGAAAAAAAAAACCTAAATGCAAATGGAAGAGCAAGGGAATTGTTACTTCTGACAGGAGCTTGTGGAGCTGAATTGTAATCACACATCTAGACACCTGACAGCACCAGTCACACTAGTCTCATTTACACACATCTGTTGTCTTGATACTAGAGCACTGTAAAGCTGAGCAACTTTGGCATTACATGCTAAGGTTGCTAGCAAAAGAATCCTTATGTAGGTTCAGTACTATGTTTATCAATCTCATAGGGAAGTCCTCTCAGGATGACTTGGCCATTTGACTTTTATCTACATCTTGAGCACACGTTTCTGACTGCAGTGGAAAAGTAGGGCTAACTTTGGCTCCAGGTTGGGATAAGGATTCTATGATTCTAAGATTCTGTGATTTACTGCAGGCCCACATGTAAATACAGTGTTTTTTCTTGTTGTTGTTAATCTGTAATGTCAGCCCTTTCTCAGAAGGGATAATGTGGAATGGTGATTTCATTCTCTGGGTTAGAGTCTCTAAGGAAGAAGATTCAATGTTATCCAAAGACTCATTACCAAAAGCCTGTGAATGCCTGGCAGAGCACTCTCTACAGGATCGTTGGTGCTAACCCAACCCACGGAGAGGCAGGAGGGTGTTTGGGTGCATGTCAGGACCAGGAGCCATGTAGAGAAGAGAAACTCTTTTTATGCTGACAGAAGGGTGCTTCTGCCAGCAGCATCAGCTGGCTCAGGATCCCTCTCACTCTGATTTGCTCCAGGAGCTGGCAGCCTGAACCACGCTCTGCAGCCAGTTCTTTGTGGTTGCCTCACTCCCCGATGCTCACGTGTGCTTTGGGCGTAGGAGGCCCTGGCCCTCACACGAGGACATTTCACAGCCAATTGCTCTGTGAAAGACAAAGTCATTGTGTGACATCACACTGTTGGGATGTCCCTGTCCGCTCTCTCTAACAGCACATGGACATGGGAAAATCCAGCCTGAGAATTCAGAAAGCCTGGAGGTTGCTGCACTGTTACCACAAGGCAAAGGGTGAATTTTTTATAAGCTTCTTTTGCAGCTTAGAAGATATGAGGCACTGAATGGGGGCTGCTGACTGTCTTGCCTTCGAGGCAGGAGAAGACAGGAGAGAATTCATGGTGGCCCTCTTTCACGGGCCTCCAACTCTTTGCATTTCTTTGCTAGGTGCTGAGCTATGATACTGCCAGAAGATGTTATTTTTACAGAAACCTCCCTTTTACAGAAGATTTAATGGCCCAAACATATCTATTTCGCCTGCTTCACAGTGCACAGGTCTGCAACCCTTTGGTACTTCTTTCTCATCCCACCTTGGTTTCTGTAGCTATCCAAGCTGGGCTCCTAAAGCTCCTGTCCAATTCAGTTGCAGCTCAGCTCTGCTCTACACCTCCTGGGCTTTCTAGGCACCCAGGAAAAGAGGAGCAAAATAGCTGTTGTTGCTATTAAAGGAGCTCAGGTCTCCCTCAGTGCTGCATCACAAGGCTTTGAAAGTAAGTAAACATGAGCGAAAGTCTACATGGTGACATGCATCATGACTGAAGCATGTGTGGATGTGGGCATGTATGGGATGCCCCCCACCACACCCACACACACTTTACAGGGGCAAAAAGCAGAGTGCAGTGTTTGTTAAAGCTTGCCAAAGTCTTATTTACACAGTAGCAAAAGAATAAGCCACCTAAAACACAGAACTGTGGCCACAGACACATGCATTCAAAGTGAGTTATTTTTAACATACGCCTCGGCTCCTTAGCATGTCAGCTCTGGGCCCGTCAGGCACAGAGGCAAGCTGTGTTTAATTCTGGGTAAAATGGCTGCAGCAGAGAGGGATTTACAGCAACAGAGGGAGAGCGAGAGATAGGTACAGCAAGTTCAGTCAGCAAAACATGAGCGCTGCTCCTCCGGCTATCTAAGTCTGCAGATGTTCCTTCCAAGTGACTAACAGGGACCAGGCCTTGCTCAAACCACACTCCTCCTCTTCCCCTGCCCAGTGCCTGGAAGCCCCTGTCTCCACCTAGTTTAGTTTTTCCCTTGATCCCCAGTGGACATACACATTGCTGTACATGTGCATACATTAAACAGCTCCTAAATGCCACTGCTGAGTTAGCACCGTGGTGTTAGCACAGCCAGCGGAGGGACTGATGGGTGCTCTTGGATAGGCCCTACACAAGTGAGTAGATGTTTTACTTTCGGCAGGGAGGAGGGAAAATTTAATAACAGAGAGATTAGAAATATAGTGAGCTTCAGAGGACGTTTCCTCCCTGGTGGAAGTAGGATACCTCAGAAGAGAGGAGGTGAACAAAGCTATTTCTCAGTAGTCTTTTTAGGAACCCTCCTT